TTTATCATGTATTTGATTATATTTATTTGCAGTTAGTTATACGAATTTAGATATAGAGCTTTAATAAGTTGTACTTACGCATAATCTATTTGCAATCTTGAGTTTTAAGTGATATACATTAATAAACAATATTTTATGTATAAAAAATGGTTTTTAAGAGTTTTTGCCAAATGTTTTATAATATAATATAGATAATAATCTAAATTTAATTAATTTATATAATTATTAAAAAAATATTAATACTTTATTAATTAATAATAATATAAAGTTAATTAATTTATATAATTATAATCTATATTAAAAATTAAAAACATAAAAAATATAATAACAAAATATTAATGAAAGTTGAAGGGTTAAACTGAAAATATCAAAAGGTTAAAACTGAAAAATAATATATAGGAGGGGTATAGAGAATGTAGGGAAAGAGTGTAGGAGGAGATGGGGTTAGAAAACCCTTAATTTAAAATCAATTCTTGATATGTTCCTGTAACTTTTACCGTGGAAAGATAGATGCGACAAATACCGCCCGCAAAGTTGAACACCATAAAATGGTCAAGAAATGTGGATGCAGACTACTTTGCAAACCATTTGGTGCATAAGTTGCTTCCGTCGATACCATTTTGACACAATCGGAGTAGCAAACGCAGGGAGCCAATGGAGAAATCCGGGTATGGCCGCGACGGAATATTCCGATCACTCCGGCCACCACTAGTCATCCCAGCAGACCCCAACACATCAATGACTTCTTTCCTCTTCCGCAACGTATCATCTTACCCGAACAGACCTGCCTTAATCGACTCCGACTCCGGCGAAACCCTCACTTTTTCTGAATTGAGAACCACCGTCGCCAAGATCTCTTATGCCTTGAACACCCAGCTAGGTATTAAAAAGAACGACGTCGTTCTCATCTTCGCCCCCAATTCAATCCAATACCCCATTTGCTTATACTCAATCATCGCTCTCGGCGCCATCGCCACCACTGTCAACCCCCAGTACACTGTCCGAGAGCTATCCAAGCAAATCAAAGACTCTAACCCAAARCTCATCATCACTGTTCAAGAATTGTACCAAAAAGTCGAAAACTTTGGGCTACCGGTTGTGTTTTTAGGATCAGAAAGTTCAAGAAAAGGGTGTATTTCATATAAAGATTTGATTTCAAAATCTGGGTCAGTCTCAGAACTTCCTAAAGTTTCAATTCGAGGAGACGATACCGCTGCTTTGTTGTACTCATCTGGGACAACTGGTGTTAGTAAGGGTGTCATTTTGAGCCACCGGAACTTCATCTCAATTTCACAAATGTTAGCTTCTGATCAAAGATTATTGGGGGAAAAGGGTTATGTTTTCTTGTGTTTCTTGCCAATGTTTCATATATTTGGACTTGGAGTTGTATTATATTCTCAGTTACAGGAGGGGAATACCGTTGTGTCAATGGGAAAGTTTGATTTTGGAGGGATGTTGAAGAACATTGAGAAATATAGAGTTACACATTTGTGGGTTGTTCCACCAGTTATACTTGCTTTAGCTAAGCAGGATGTGGTGAACAAGTTTGATCTTTCTTCACTGAAGCAAATCGGGTCGGGTGCTGCACCTTTGGGGAAAGAATTGATGGAGGAGTGTGCCAAGAAATTCCCTTCTGTTGTGGTTATGCAGGTAAACTTAGATTACATTTGAGCTAATAAAATCGCTAATCTCTTTCCAATTTCATGAGCTGCTCATTTTGACTTTTGGCTGCTTAATTGGTGTCTTAACAACTGATATAGTTGGGGTTTTCTAACCCCACCCCCTCCTACACTCTTCCCCCTACATTTTCTATACCCCTCCCATGTATTATTTTTCACTTTTAACCTTTTTGATATTTTCAGTTTTTAGCCTTTAACTTTTATAATATTTTGTTATTATATTTTTTATGTTTTTAATTTTTAATATAGATTATAATTATATAAATTAATTAACTTTATATTATTATTAATTAATAAA